TGAAGTGTGCAAAGTTATGTGTATACAACTTGATGGACCGAAACATTTCTCGCTTCAGATTTCCACTCTAATTTTCTCGTCCCTATTTTTTTACTATAATAGAGATATTAATCATGATATATGTTAATATATGTTAAAAATTATACAATAGAGATATATAAAATTATTTAAGAGGGTTAATTAATCCCACCCATTTAATTCCCGTGGTTTAATCAATTCCCTTTGATTATAGAAATTTATTAATCACCTTTATTTCCAAAGTATTAAATAATCCCCTCTGTGTTAAAAAGCATAAAATTACTTTAAAAAAAAATAAATCGATACCCTTCGTTTGATTTCTTCTTAATTAATAAATAATCTGCGGTCATCTACTAAATACCAACGTTTCAACCACCTCTCATTCCTATTATTTGCAGCAGTAGCATTTGGTGCCACACAAAAAGTCTAGGCAGCCTTGTGTTTTACTAAAAATTGTTGGCGGCGCGCAACAGGCGGGCTTCACGATCAATCATGCGTTCTTGCGGTATTTCGTGCTGTAGCAAGATCGCTTCGAAACTCAGCAGCTAGAATTTATAACGTACTGGTCCTGGAGATTCAGAAAGTTAATTGTGCAGCTACGTGTTACTCGGACAGAAAACACTTCGTTAAAATTTCAGCCTCCCAGTTTTTATGCGTTTTTGCATATTTGCAAATGCGAAAACGCGTGTTGCGACCACCCCGGTGTGAGTGTGTTTGTATGTGTGTATGTGCGTCTGTCCAGATATTTCATCTCGGCATTCAAGCAAGCTCCGACGCCGAAATTTTGCTACTGTGTTCTCAGGCCAAGTGTCATCCCAAGACCGCGGTAACAACTCTCACGCAAGCTTGAGCTCCGCGTACGAGAGGGTGGAAGTTTTGGCGAGAAAATTGATAACTCGGGAACAAGAAAAGATAGAAAGCTGAAATTCTGTGATTATGTCCCTCCGTCCACATATAACCCAAAGATTTCAAATTCAGCCTCCAGGTTTTCGTGGTCCCCGCGTATGGCTCCTGACGGTTCCTGGCGTGAAAATCGCTAACTCGGGAACTAGGAAAGCTGGGAGCTGAAATTTCCAGGCAATGTTCCTAGCACAAGTTCAACTTATAAATATCAAATTCAGCCCCTCAGTACGAATGGTAATCACGTACGGCCCTGTAAAAGTTTTTGGCAGGGAAGTGGCTAACTCGGGTACCAGGAATACTGGGACGCTCAAATTTTCAGAAAATTTTCTTAGCAAATATACAGCTTGAACTTATCAAATTTAGCTCCCAGCTTGCGTGGTTCTCGCGTACGGCCCCGTGAAAATTTTTAACGCGAAAATGGCTAATTCGGGAACCAGGAAAGCTAGGGGGCTGAAGTTTTCAAAGAATGTTTTTAGCAAATGTACAGCTTAAATTTGTCTAATTCAAGTCCCGCACATGCGTGTTCCCACGTACGACCCTGCGTAGGTTTTTGGCGCGGATATAATAATTCGGGAACCAGGAAGGCTGGAAGGTGAAATTTTTAGAGGATGTACCCAGCCCATGTACAATTTAAATTCTATTAAATCATCTCCCGAGCGTGAGTGATTGTCATGTACGGCCCGTGAAAATTTTTGGCAGGATACATTTACAAAAAACATATAAAAAGGAGTGGATTTTGGGTTACGGGAAGTTTTACCGATTTGCATCAGGCGTACACATGAATCAGGATATTTGCAGATGAAACAATGAAGAAATACAAGCAAGCAATATCACAACAGCAAGTACCACCAGAGCATCTCCAAATTCTCAAACCACAGGGTTTCCGGAGCAAATCACTAGAAAAAGAAAGGACGGAGCAGAAAGCAATGGAACCAGCCGTTCGACATGCACAGGACAGCACCCAGAAAGAAATAGTCACCAAAGAGATACTGTCGCTGAACACATATAGTTTGTATTTTGTTCAACATTTCTAGCATTTTTTCAAAAAGTCGCGTAAAAATTTTTTCCCACGATATTTTCACGGTTTTTTTAGAAAAACACGAACAAATTTTTGAAATTTATCATGCTATCACGTTCTGGGTTTAAAAGCTCCTTTTCTATCATAATTCTTTTCCTCCTTTCTTGTTTCCAGATCCGAAGTGGGAGTTAATGACAGCCTTGCCAATGGATGCAAGTGTAATAGCACTCGATCTGCTCCTGAATACTTATGCATTGAAACAGTATAGTACTGAAATTTTAAACAATTTAACTGATATGAAAAATACATTGATGTGCGTATAAGCAACTGGCAGTTCTTCCACTTGCATTGACAAGTGCTGCATCACTTCGTGGTCTAGCTTCTAGCTATCCTGACGTTTCGAATTCTGAAAAATTTGCGACTCAAAGAATTCCCCGCAAGTAACACCTGTCGAAATTTTTTTTTAGTCATTTTGAGACATCTGTGGTGTTTGTCCATATCGTCTTGACTCAGTGCCAGTTCTTGGCCCAAAATGACCTCTTACTGAACAGAAGCATGTTGCCTGTGTTTCGGAATTTGCGAGACATTACAGGCGAAGCAAAGGAAAAGTACCAGCAAGCAGTATCCAAGCAACTTGCTGCATCGCAGCCTTCACTAACTGCTTCGACTGGTACGACCTTCCGAAGCAGAACTTTGGAACGAGAAGAAGCGACAACGATGCCAGCTGCAGTACGCGTACGCGAAAGCATCCAGAAAAAAGATGCGCCTGCTAAAGAGTTTCTCTCGCTCAACACTTACAGTAATTGCTTTGTTCAAAATTAAGAGGACGCAAAAGTACCAAACAACTAAGTTGACGAGGCAAGGCGGACAAAGGGCACTCCCTGATACAGTGTACAGTTGGTTTTTTTTGATAGCGAACCACATTTTTTTCGGAACTAATGTGAAAATAAGTGGGAAGATGCATACCTATGCCAAGCTTTTTGCCTCATTTTCTCACTATAAGCATAGGCTGAGCCAGGGCGATTTCCTAAGGGAGGGGGAGGGAACGATTTTTCACCTCACCTTTTCCCTTCATCACTACACCCCTCCCCGTCCTTCGGGCATCTCCGCACGCACCCTTCACTAGCCGTACTGCCCCCTCTCCCCCCTACTCCCCGCCCCTCCTCTTTCCTCGAAGGCTTCTGGGGCAGGGAGCGGGGAGAGGAACAGGGGGTATCCAGCAGACTTTTGTATAGTTCTTTTACTATATACCGTGGGCGAAAGGCCCCTCGCCCTCCCCAGACCACTTCCCTCCTTGGGTCCGCTAATGACTATAAATAGTAGTCGCTGCTTCTGTTGTGTAAAGACTCACAATTGCAAGTACCACTCATTAATGCGCAGCGTTCTCTTACTACTAGCAGAGCAGAGCAATGTATGAATAATTTTCTAATTTAATCAGCAACTGTTACCGATAATTTGATCAACTCACTCATTTTCCGATACATCTGCCAACAACTCCATTCGCTTCTTAGATATATCTCATTTTCCATGCATGCATTCCAGTGGATTCTTCCATTAGTAACTTTCATATGTTGTTTTCTTTTAACATTGCGAGTACCATTTAATAATCCGCGTTGTCCAACTTCTCGCGTCATACGATCAGCACAACATTTCTTTCTGACGCATATCGCCTTACAGACCTGGCTTGCTCCAAACCGTAATCTTAATAATCCACTGGCGATAGGTTGCTATCCAAGATGCCTACCACGTAACTTTTCAGCAAGCGTAAGTATCCATATTTCGCTTCGGTACAACAGAATCGTAGTGTAGCGAGAATGAAAAATGTCTCTTTCACACTCCATCTCATTATGTTCGTAAAGCAAAACACATCTGTTAACTGAGCAAAAACTTTTCATCCCGACGGAGCTGCTGTCCCCAAAATTCCAGATTGCTAGCCTTTTCATTTCTGGATTTGGTTAGAACGAGCGAACCCGACAAATTTGAAATGCACACACGCCCATCCATCTCATTTCAGTCTGTTCTTATTGCATCATTGATGTAACGAGAATACATAAAAATTTCTTCGGTCACAATTTTCTCAGTCCTGCCTATTCAGAAAAGTCTTTCTACGTACACAATCTCTGTTAGTGAAAGTGCTAAAATTGGCTAGCGGATTTGAAATATTGAGGATTTTCAGCCTCGAAATTTCGGCTTTCGAGATCCCGTTTCCGGATCTCATGCCAAGATTTGAATTCTACCAGTGCCAAATTACGGAAAATTTCCGGAAAAATATTTGAATGCGATTACAAAAAATTCGAGCACTTAGTTTTATTCGAACAATTCTTTTTGATGCACTGGTTTTATCATTATTCATCTTTTTTCCATGACCGTCATTTATCTTGTGTTTTTTGTCTCAAGAAAATGTTTTAAACATATCACTAAAAGAATTCGAGATATTAGTGTACTCTTGATGTCTGTCGAATAGGTCCCACATCGATCGCATTTATCCTAGGTTCACTCACCTTGACTGTTTGCTTCCTACTGTCATTGAACTCATTGTAGATGAAGCAATGGAGAAGTATCAGCTTGCTGTATCCAAGCAGTATGAGCCTACACAAGTGTCTTCCAAAGATTTTACCTTCCGAAGCAAGGCACTGAAACGTGCAAGCACTGACGATGAAGTATCCGTTACACAAGAAAGCATCCAGGAGGAAGATGCGCCTGCTAAAGAACGATTGTCACTGAACACTTACAGTTCGCATTTTTGCTTGGAACTTTTGAAATTTTTTAAAATTTTGCAAATTAACAAGGCATGAAATGTCGAAAATAACCGCCTTATACACACATAGACATAAAACTTTCTTTTATGTCTATGTGTGTATAAGGCAGTTATTTTCAATATTTCATGCCTTGTTAATTTTTTTATGTACTGCAATACTTTTCTTCTTCCGTTTCAATCTTCACATGTATTGGCTACTATTACACCGCTATATTCCAATTTTTTTCTAAGCAGTATGTTTCCAGTGTCTTTTTTTTTGAAGAAGGGGGAGGGGGATGTCCAGATTTCAAGCTGACAGGCAGCTTGACGGGGGATCTTAAATAACACTGCTTCCAGTATTAGGTCGACGGTTCTATTTCACAAACAGGAAAACCGGATCTTCTATGCCTCACTGATTCATTTCGGTGGCAAATTGGTACTAGGGCACTGACAAAAGTCATAATCGCCGTTAGTTTGCTTCTAAGCACTAAAAAGATGGATCTACCCAGCAGACCTGTTGACAGGTGCGGGTAATCTATTATTATTCGGATTACCTCTGAATATTTTTGCCGTTCATGGAGGGTGGCGAAATGTTTTAAAATTTTGGGGCTTTGACTAGGATTTCTGACAGCATCATGGGCTAAACTCGGATTAGTAGAATCCTGCACTAGATGCCACGAATTTTTAGAATCCTGTACTTAATAACTGTCATTTACTGCAAAGGACAACGTTTCACGAGTTGAAAATTACGCTTTAACACTTCTTCTTTTTCAAGATGTAGCACTTGAAAGTTACAAGAATGCGATTGCCGCGGAGGAGGAGGCGAACAAACCACGTACAATTGCCCGCCACACTGAATCATCTCATCTCCATCATCATTCCTGGGAGTCAGTGGATGCCAGCAAATCTGCACATCATGGTGCGCATTCCTATATTTTCAAATAATCAGTCACAAAATTTGGCCAAAAAATTGTCGATTATAAAATTCGTTGTGCACTATAATTTTTATTAATTGTTATTAAAAACTTGATTTTTCAGGAAAATATGCAACAGCGAATGAACAGCAACAGACTGAAAAAGCTTTCCAGCAGCAACAATACGAACAGGAACAAAAACATCGAAGTGTTTCCGAAGGACGCCAACCAGCTGCCGTAGTTATACCTCCGATCTTTTCACAAAACGTCTCCGATTCCAGCCCCGCTAGCACTACCACTACTACGACTACCTACAAAACTGGTACCAGTTAGCGTCCGAACAATCGAAATTTTATTCAATTTTAAAATTTGACAACGCATTAAAGAGGCCACTCAATTTCCCCTCAATTACTACTTGCTTTCGCTGTGCGATGCGATGCCCTCGAATTCTGTCATTCGTTTTCAAGGGAAAAATTTTATTAGCTTATGCCGAAAACAAATTATCGCCTTTCTTTGTCGGCCCTGTCACCTTTTTTAACTCCCTCGTGATACGAAATTACCAGAAATATCCGTCGGAATATCCTCCGAATATTGCCGAATGCCTCCGCCTCTCACAAAGAGTGCGAGTCTGGAAGGGGTTTTGACTACGATTTGACGGAACACAATTACCAAAACATTTTAACAGCCCCTTTCCTTCGGCTGGTTTAATAGCCCGGTAAATTTAACCTCTGGATATTTTTTCAAAGATCACAGTTGTTACCAGGCAGTTATTTTCAAATCGTTCGGTCCTTAGTACAAACTTCATACCTTTAGTTAGTACCAACTTTAACTTCATACTTCATACTTTTAGTTAGTACCAAAGTATATGTGCCACAAAAAATAACAGAGAATTTCTAATTATTATTTAAATAATTAATGGAGAATTGTGATTACTGCTTGATTAAAATTCAAATTATTTGATTATTCTAAATTTTCATTTTAAAAACCGCGAAAAATTCCTTACAATGTTTTTTTTTTTTTGAATTGGAGTTTTTTTGGCTTTCAGGAGGACCAAAGTTCTAAAATTTTCCTTTTTACCAATTCTTATAGTGGGCTCCTTTTCGAAATCGAGGCTTTCCCAAAAAAAAATAAATTCAATAACGGGGCGAAGCATGTGTGTTTTATTTTGAAAAATCAACCAAAATGGTTAGCTATTTTATTATTTACTCAGTGTCGACATTGGGTAATCCTTTTGCACAGTGCTTCTTCACGACTTCATCCACTCAAAAACAAATCAGCTTCACAGTACGATGAGTTTTCTTGCCTAGTAAATACCCTCCATTCTGGGCACGTAGGCTGTTTCACAAACTTAAAATTTTAGTGGAGACAATCGAAGAGCGCGATTCTACCGGGAGAGTGATCAATGTAACGGTTCGCACAATCTCTGAAGGCACAAAAGATCAGCAACGTGAGCAGAAACATCATACTCGTGCTTATCAGACAGGTGAGCAGTGAGTTCTATTAGTTCATCACTGAATCGCTGATGAGTGCCGACGAGCATACTGTTTTTTTTTCTTATCATTTTAAGGTTGTTTTGATTCTAATATTCTTTTCGTCTCCTGACAGGATTTTTGGCGCAATGACTGCCCCGACAGAAGCGCTTTGGCAAAACTTTAATCACTTGGAGATCCGATGGTGTGTGTTGTGCGCCATCAGCACGTCTCCAAGCATTGTTACTCCCCCTACATTTGAAATCTAGAAGAAATTTGACCAATGTTTATGAAAGAGATGTTTATTTGAGCAATTTGACAAAGTTTATTTTGATCTTAGTTCAGTTTTGATTTTCTTTTTAAATAATTTAATTCTATCTTAAAAAATTTTGATTAAGTTTTAAGACGAATTTAAAGTTTCATTTCTGTTTTTTAAATTTTAATGTTTCTTTTTATCGTAGCTTACCACGCTCCTGTTCTTTTGACATTGCTCTCAATAAACAGCTTTGTCCATTCATTGTATCTCATTCTTGCCGCATGACCAGTCCAACTTTTCTTCTAGGCGCTCACTTCGCTGATAATTTCATTTACTACCGAGCGCGCAGGAATTCATTAGAAGTATGCTGCAACTTGCTGACATTTTGGCATTTAATGGCTCGTTTGGCCAGTGCTAACTTTTGGGCTACAATAGAAAATGAAAGTTGTCTATTGTCAGTCAAAAGCCTGCCTATCACCAGATCAGCCGAACTGCGCGTACCTACCCCGATAAGAGTTTTCAGTTATTTGCCCCTTGGCGTTTCACACGTTTTAAGAAGTGGAGGTAACCAGAAGTGAGCCGAGTAGAGCAGTGCGCAAATAGCAGCCATGCACTGTCATATCTGTGGTTACTTTTGGCAAAATACCGACAATAAATCATTCGATAGAGCTGTCGAAATATGTTACATAATCAAAAGTGCCATTGAGCTGCAGGTTTTGCTTGATCTGATTCCTTTTTCCACAAAAGAGCTGATGATTCAGTGCCTTACAATACCGTGCCGGTCTGCGGAGGCAATCCCCCCCCCCCCCCCCCCCCCCCCCCCCCCCCCCCCCCCCCCCCCCCCCCCCCCCCCCCCCCCC